ACTCGGTGCGTTCTACATAGTCTCCCTAAACACAAGACCAAGTTGCGACAACGAGGTCAACCCACTTCAAGAATGTTGAATGTTTAATGGTTGAATTCACGTTCAATTATTATTAATCAACATCAATCATTCGACAATCAATCATACAGATTCCGTCTTCCTGTGTATCTTTGGGAGACCTTAGGCTTAATATGACATATTGTCTCTTTGAAAGAGTCAAATCATATTGAATTTTTTCTTTCAACGTTGCTTGCACACACTTTACACACACCCAATTTAGGTATAGCACGATAAATGAACCCCGCTTTCTGCTTTCAGAACATAGACTATGCTGTAGATACGGAGAGTAAGTTGGTTTCGAAGAATCTCCCAAGCTTACACTTTTGAAAATGTATGAAAAAGCTCTTCGACGGTCAACCTCACCACCTCGTTTTGTTTTTCCCCCCAAATCAGGAAGGATATCGCTTTTGGGCTGCTCCGACCTAAACGTCGTATTGAAGCCAGACGGCTGCAGAACAACGGGAACCAGCCGTCCTCTTTTGGTGGGATAGATTGTTTTGCCGGAAACATTTAAAAAGCATATCTAATCCATATGAATTATTTAGAATAATTGCTTGTAAAAGTGAGGCATCTCCTCATTTATTCGCATTAATTTTACGCGTATCTCGCTCCCAGTCTTAGTGACTGGACCTACTCTACGCACTACTTATTTTGTACCACACACTCCTTTTGTAGGCTCTTCGGCTCGACACTTTCCAGCTGAATAAACTGCGGTCCAGACCAATTTGTTCTGGATCGGTGTTTGCAACGGAAAATGCCGGCAACCGACCTGTTCTGCATGCGGCACTTGGACGTTAAAACTTGCTTGTTAAGACCGTCTACACACCGCAGACATTTCAGCAGCTTGCATCATTCGCGGCTTTGGTTTGTCGGTACCAACACCGGTTTGCCCAGAGAGGCGTGCAATCACCATGGCCTATGTTCGGCCGATTCAAATCAGCTCAACTCGACCAAACAACTTCATCGGCAATTGCCTCCGCCCCTTCCTCCCGATCTACCACCTCTCTTTCTCTCCCCCATTCACTCATCCACTCTTCCACTCATCCACCCATCCAGCCATCCTTCCATCTCATCCTCTTGCACAGCCTGTCCATCGACACAACTCGCCTCGTTCGGTTGAAGGCCGAGATGGGATTGTAAATCTAGCCTTTTATAGCATTTGATGCAGACCACTTCTTTCGTGTTGAAAGACTTCCCCGGGGCACATACTATTTTGCTGGTGTTGCTTTTATGTATATTTCCGATGCACATCCTCCTGCCACCCCTGAATACCCTAGGGTCGGCACATGGATGTCTGTTCGACCATCATTCGGCCATTGGAGGCACAAGTGTGCGTGTGTGTGTGTGTGTTTGTGTGTATGCACACACGTACATTCACACAAACGCTTGTCTACATGTAAGCAATTCTTTGTGTTTGTCTGCATGTCTACACACACAGAAACACACCGAAATAGAAGTGTCCGATATTGCACACGCGTGTGAACGAGATTGGCGCCTTGTGTGAGCAAGCAACATGATCATGTTGGCCATGCAGTTGAGGGCCGGATTGGATACAGCCGAGACACGCCTACTTTTTTACGAGTCTCTACCATAGGCCTCGAAGCCATGTTGGGAAGGCTGTAATGTGGACTAAACGAATAAATCGGGGTTGGGCGCTAAATTGGGCCATGTCCCCGAGTTGCTGTCGTAGGTGGGTTAAACGATTGCCGAGTCAATAAGCCAATTTTAAGACAAATACTTGTGCTCGTGTTTGCTGCTCGTCAAACCTTATGCAATAAATGTGTGCATGTGTGTGTGTGTGTGTGTGTGTGTGCAAGGTGCGAATCCACACCAACTTGCACATGACTTTGAGCCAATCTGTCTGACCGGACCGATTGGACTTTAGCCTCGAGGCCCGGCCAGCATCGGGATAGAGTGGAAGAGATGGCTTGTTAAAGTATAGGGATTAGGGGGCCACACCGGTTTAGTGAGAGATTAGGCGGTATGCAGTGTAATCCACCAGTTTACGAGATATAAAACTTTGTAGCTGAGGTGCCAATCGGACAGGGCAAAACGGGGAAGCAAGTGGCCTAGCAACAGACAAAAGACCAGACGGAGACTCGGGCAGAAAGTGCTGGCCGTAGGCATGAATACAAAGTCTAAAGGACGCTTGTGATACATAAAAAGTTAGGCATAAAATGTTAAGATAGTAATTATAGGCTACTCAAGATGACATGGAGTCACAGTACCAATTAATGTTATGATTGACAGAAACAGTTACAGATTACGTCGCAATGCGAGCGGTTCCATCAAGCAGGTGATCACTTAAATGCATGTATTCTGGGAAATAGGTAGAAAGCTCATTTTTGCGTAGGATTTTTAACTCATCAGCTTATCCCATGCTTTCATCATAATCATGTTCATACAAACTGTTACTAGCTCCAAAATAAGTAGTGTATCGAGTTCGGTGGCGCGAACACATGGTTGCTTATCGCAAAAAACAAATTTAAAGTGAAATAAAATTAACATCATTAGGGTTAACTAGAGTTGTGTGCATTTGCCTCTAATCCTTACGTCGAAGGCTCGAATCCCACTTGGAGTGTGGGGGTGTGGGAGAGAGAAGAAACACTGAGGCGAGGCGTCGACAACTGATATACAGACAGGCAGTAGAGTCTGGTATTTTTGTGTAAAATAAGTCTTCCCACTTATATTTTGCCTAGGAAACGGAATCTATCAAAGAGCAAGAATGATCCATTGGAATAAAATCAGATCCTCCTATTTGGTGGCCGTATAAGAGTCTATACTTCACTTTATTTTTGATGCCAACCAATTTGGAAGTGGTCTTCCGGATTATTAATCTTATGACTATTTCTGAAAGTGTTTGGCGGAGAGATTAGAAGGTCGATCCCATTCATTTTGATGCCCCAGTAACAGTTTTGTTAAGCAAAGTGAGGTTCGGTTGTACGATCTGATTATACACTCATGCAGGGAATACGTTTAGGTATAGCCTCCACTTTATGCTTTACTAGCCTTAATTTGGCTGACAATAACTTAAGAACCTGTAATAGCATGTGGCATAGAAAACCTTTCGACGGATATTTATATGCCGAACATTATTAAGTGGATATCCGGATGACAATTGAGTCTACTTCCACCTCGAGTGGAAGGGTTTGGTGAAGAGATTCGAAGGCCGATCTCACCAGAAGACGACGACCGATTCCTCCTGACCATCCGTCGATTGGGCCTACTGGAACATTCTTACTAATGCTGTTGCCGAGGCATCCTCCTCAGATTAGGGCAAAAACGTGTCAAGCTTTCGACCTCCGCATGACGT